CCTGCCATTCAGCAGGGCCTCAACAGAAACCACCATTTTACCACCTCACCTGACCAACATGCCCCGCCACTGAGCCATGACAGAAACCCACAGACAGATGAGAAACAGGAGTGATTATTTAACATGGCCAGTGACATGCAAGTTCTGTGGTTCACCAGTGTCTCGAGTTCTAGCAGTGGTTCTAACAATGCTGGCAGAGGTGGATCCAGTTCACAGATGAGACGTGTGGTCTACACAAACAGAGTGAGTTGGTGTCTCTGGACCCTTCCATCCTCCAGCAAAGTAGTGGGCAGCTCTCCCAAGGCTCTAGGAGGAAAATGTGGCTGCACTACCACACTAGGTGCAGGTGAAGAGTGGTGGTACCAGCCCCAGACCCTGGCACGTGGGTGGTGGGGTCAGCTCAGACAGCCTGGGTCCCCCAGCTTACACTGTCAATGTACAAGGATGAGGAGAGGAGGCTTCCCAAGGGATGACAGCAAGACCACTCACTGGAGTTGCAGATGCTTCCATAGTCAAACTGAAGATGAAGAAGGGGCCCCCGGCTAACAACTTCCCAAGCCCAGGTACCTCCTTTAGTGCCTCGTGGGTTCCTGGTTGGTCCTAACCCCATTCCCCTTTGGGAGAAGCAAGGGGGATAGGAAGGTAGCTGGGACCATTTGGAGCTGGTCAATTAAAGAAAAGCAGGTACTAAGTCAAGAAACAGCAGGAATGGTGGTATAAGCCTTTAATCCCTACACTGGGGAGGCTGAGGCAGGCAGATCTCTATGAGTTCAAGGCCAGCCAGGGCTACATAGTGAGACCCTGTTTCAAGAATAAATTAATTTAAAAACAAACTGAACCAGAGGACCAGAAAACCCCCAGAAAGCTCACAGACAACACCCACAATGCTCCAGACTCCAAGGCCAACTGTAGTCCCTCCAACCGCAGGCAGCTGGTAGCTGCTCCTCCCAGGCTCAGGCTGCTAAAGCTCCACTAAGCAGCTCAGACCCCTGGCACTCCCCTGCCTTAAAGCCTGCAAAGGAAGGGTTCTGTCTGCCCAGGCGAGCCTCCCAGAGACCCTCCCCACCTCCTCAGCCTCCGGGGTCCCCCTGCTCAGATGTCCATCTACTCAGGACCCCACCCACATCCTCTGGGTTCCTGCTGTCTAGATAGCCTGAGTTTCAAGCTGTTCAATGTTACTTGACAACTGTGTAACCTCGGGAAGGTGACTTAACCTCTCTGTCTCATTTCATCTTTAGTATAGGGCCCAAGCGCATTTGGAGTTATAAGGACTGAGTTCATGCATGCTCAGACATGGGTAATACTTTATATGACACTCATTATTACTGTTATTCACAGCATTCATGGCAGGTTTCCACTGTCTCCACTAGCTCAACAGCTGGGATCCATGCTGTCATAAGCCATAGCATACTCCGGCACCTATCATACCCCTCAGTAAACACCCATGTAGAGAACAAATGAACTGGATGTAACATTGTTAGGGAGCGTTTTTTAACTCTGGGGCCAGACACGATAGGGAGTCAAAGGCGAAGTGATGGCTGAGCTGTGTTTTGAACGATAAAAACATATCAACTACACAGATTGAGAACACTGTGGATATCTGCCGGTGGCCGAGTCTGGAGTCCATATGCAGCTCCTGAACAAGCTATTGAGCCTCAGAGAGCCTTCCACCACCACCACAACCCCTCCATCCCCTGGGGTCACTCATCCATTCAGCCATTTTGGGTCCTGCTGTATGATGGGCATTAGCATTTTCTGTCTATAGGCCCCCCCTCTCCTGCCACATCAGAGTTATATATGCCACCTCTTCACAAACATTCAGATCCAAGGCTGGGGGACTTCTAGGATCACCCAGCACACAGGCACCCAGAGACAAACATCTTGCCTAAAGTCACAGTGAGTAATGGGTAAAATGAGATTTTTTCTCCCCTCTGTGTGTATATATATGTTTGCATGTGGGTGTTTTGTGTGTGTAGTTTATATGTGTGTGGCGTATATGCCTTTGTACATGCATGAGGTCAGAAGAAGTCAAGTGTCCTGTCCTCGCCACGTTATTGGTTTGAGGTGGGGTCTCTCACTGAACTAGAAGCTGACCATTTTAGCCAGGCTAGAATCTTAGCTAGTTCCCAGGGAATACAGGCTCACAGAGCTGTGCCAAACTTTTGGCATAGATGCTTGGGATTTGAACATATACCCTCTTGTTTCGAACCTGCTGAACCAACTTCCCAGACCTGAAAATGAGATTCTAATCCAAGACTGACACTATGGCACACACTTGTAATCCCATTACTCAGAAAGCTAAGGCAGGAGGATCAGGAATAGGAGACCATCCTGAGCTACATAGTGAAACTATCTCAAAACAAAACAAAAAAGAAAAGAAAGAAGAAAGGGAGAGAGAAAGACAAGATTCCAATCCAAGGGCTGTTTCCCAAACCAGACCCCTAATGAGGCTGGGGACGATGAAGGATGGAAAAGCCACTCTCACTGTTCTGGGGTTCAAAGTGGGTCCTATGGAGGTCTTCAGCAGCACACAGGCCCATGAGCAGGGCACAGATGCCCGCCCACTGCTGGTTCAGGTCTCCATCAGCTTGCCATTAGGACCAACTGGGCGGGAGTCTCAGGAGAATGGAGCCAAATAGCCCATCACCAGTTGTACAGTCAAAACGGTTCCTAAGCCTCATTGGGAGTGGACTTGGACCAGACTAGAACTGAGAATCAGAAGTTCAAGATCATCTTTGGAAACATCTTCATCAAATTTGAGGCCAGCCTGGGTTACATGAGGCCCTGTCTCAAATATAAAAATGAAAATAGCTCAGAACCAAGAAAAGCACCCCAAATTTCCCCATTTTATTCCATAGGAGCAAAGGAAATTAACAGGCCACAGAAATTCAAGATCTGCCAACCAGGCACAAGTTCAAAGGTAATGACCAATGTCACTTTCAACTAATGTGAGGTCCCTGTGGCCCTCTGTCCCAATTTCCACACCCAACACCCAGCTCCACAGCCAGAGGCTAGATGCTAGCTGAGATTAAATCAGGGCTCAGGGTGGAAATGCTAAGCCTCATGTCCAGAAAAGCTCTCAAACCATCACCACTGAGTTCAAATCCCAGCTCTGCCACTTCCTGCCTCTGTGACCCCTCTGAGACTGAGTTATTTCTCATCTGGGATGAGTGTGGGGAGAGAGCAGCAGGGTGAAGGGTTACTTTCTTTCCTGCTATAACCAAACACCCTGCAGGGTAGCTAAGGGACGGAAGGGCTCGCCTTGGCTCACGGTTTCAGGAAACACAGTCCATGAGGCAAGCACATGATGGTCAGTCACACTGTCCACAGTCAGGAAGCATAGAGAAATGGTGCTGGTACCCTGATACTTTCCCCTTTTTCTATTTTTACTCAGGCCAGGGCCCCAGTGCATAGCATTGTGTCATCCACATTCAGGGTGGGTCTCCCCACCACCACCACTTAGACCTCTATAGAAACACTCTTGACTGAACTCCGTCAAGCTAACAGTGAAGATTAGCCACCACAGGGAAGGTAAAAAGGACCTGCCACACTGAACAGGGCAAGTGAAGGTGCATGCACTTAGCATTCTGTCTGGCAAAGTCACAACATGAGGATACTCTACCCTGGGGTCAGGGGGCAGAAGCAAGAGGCCCAATGGCTCAGATTCCACCCTGGGCCTGGCTGAGAAACTGTCTGCCCACATTTATTCTCTAGGTATCCCCTGGCCTCTGGCTAGGCCTAGGTACATCAATCACATCTTGTAAAGTTGTCTTGGGTATGGAGATAGAGATATGAGCCAAGCTCCCATCCTAGTGAGAGCAGGGCTCACAAAGGGTATATGATGTCATGAAAAAAAAAAAAATCTAGGAAGGCCTTCCAGAGGAGGCAGCATCCCAGCTGAATCTGGAGTCCGAGAAGGAAACTGCCGGAGAGACAGCAGGCTAGGGGAGGTACAGGGAGGCTGAGATCACTGGTGGAAGGTATGGAATACACAGCAGCTGGAGAAAGCCTATGTGGCCCACGGAGGCAGGAGAAGCCAGTCAGTATGGTGCTGCTATGAACACAGAGGGATGGATGAGAGCCTGCAGAGAGACCTAGACAAGCATGCCACCAAGATGGTGACCTGCCAGGTAAGTCTGAGCAGGTGCCACAGTTACTTTACCCCCTACTGTGAGAGCAGATGAAAGAGGACAAGGTCCCTGGGGCTGGGCAGGGATGCTGAGCTGCGTGCTGGCAAAGAGGCGGGTGAGGCATGTATTTGCCTCTTCTGAAATGTCCTCCGTTGGCAGCTACTGTGCTCAGCACAGGCTGCCCAGGCTGTCCTGAGTCCTTCTCCAGGCAACAGGCCAAAGGCCCCCAGTGAGCCATTGACACTTGGGTGTTTCTGGGACCTCAGCAACCTATATCTGCTCCAAAGTTCCAGTTAGGAGGTTCCAGGAAAAAGTACTCCAGAAGGTCACTCCATAGGACATTTTCCACACAGCCTTTCCCTCACATGGTTGTGTCCTTACTCTCCTGTTCTCGCCTGTGCACACACACCCTCACACTGTAAATTCTGTCAAGAGTCAGCTTGGAGTCCTGAGCTGGGGAGGTTAGGAGATAGAGCCCTGAGCGTGCGCGCGCGCACACACACACACACACACACACACACACACACACACACACACACACCAGCAGCAGCAGCAGCAGCATTATGTGCACAGGACACACACTCAACCAAACAGAATTCCAGAACTTGCTACAGAGGACATTCCACCCAGCCACAAACTGCCAGGCTGAGGGAGCCTACTGACCCCGGGGCTCTTTGGGGAGACTACTAGTTATAATTTAAGAAGTCCGTGGGTTCTGCAATTTCTCCTTCCAGAGGGAACTACAGAACAGACATCAGACAGTGAGGCTGGAGATGCAGATCCTGACTAAAAAGGGAAGCAACTACTTTCTGGGCCCCACATCGGGAGGCCCATCTGGCTCCCAGACCACCCTAACCCACCATTCCATACCCTTCGCAAGTGGTTTCCCACATTCTGGATCATTGCTGCTCTGCCTGCTGGGTTGCCAGGCTCTGGGGGGTCTGCACACTCCTAGAGGGCCTCTGGTCACCTGAGCCACAGGCGGCCAGCAGCTCCAAAGGCAGCCGGCTTCCCAGGGCTCCTCCTCCCAAGCTCCCGCCCTCCAGAGCCAGCTGCTAATATCTCCGCCCCATGTCCTGGCCTCTCCTCAATCCGCCCTCTGTGCCCCCCCCAACACACACATACAACCCCAGCACAGAAGGCTCCTAGCACCCGCCAGCTGGGCCACAGCCAAATGGGGACTGGTGCCCACCTACTGGCTCCACCAGACTCAGTCAAACTCCAGCCCCCTACGCCCTGTCCTTAGCTAACAGAATGACTCCCAGGTCGCAGAGCTCCAGTTCTCTTGCCAAAGATTCCATTCATCCACAAGAGGGCAGGCTGGAGCATGGCAGGATGCCAGGAAACTGCCAAAGCCTCCTAGAGATACACCAGATCCACCTGCCAGGATTTCACCTTTTAGAGTGCTGCTGACTGGCTCCTATGGCCAGCCTGCCCACATCCAGCAACTGCTGATCTGGGAGACAGTATACCAGCCCCCAACAGCCACTTTCATGTTAACTAGTGATTCTTCTAAAGGAGGCAGCTGCCAAAGTCCACCATTCATGCCATGCAGACTCAGCACGTATGGCCATCAACAGCTTGAAACCCTCCAGGATTTCCCCTTTCCCCTATCACTTCTGCACGAGGGCTTAACACTCACACTGGACGGAACAAAAACGTCTTATTGGAGGCCAAAGGGAAAGGGTGAACAAGTGGCTGAGGACATAGTCCTAGAATACCAGAGCCCTTCTGTGACTCAGGCTTCCTGCTGGCCCTGGCCCTCTCCCACAAGGATGACCCTTGGAGTTGAGAAGGGACGCATCCCTGGGCGTCACAGCCGGCACAGAGCAGAAGGGACAGTCTCTTCTGCTCTCTGCTTCCATTTTAGTCCCCACTCAGCTGATAACATGCCCTCTGCCAAAGGCTCTGAGTTCACTACCATTGCCCAGGACTCTGAGCAAGTCCTCTCCTCTCTCAAAGCCTCTGCTGTAGGAACCAAGGGCTATCACACCATCCTTGTGAGGTCTTGTCATCTATCTGCAAAAGAGAAACTGAAGGCATAGCTTCAAAACGGCAAAATGGACACCAAGTGTGCTAACTCATGCCTGTAAACCCAATACTCTGGAAGCTGAGGCAGGACAGCCATGAGTTCAAGACCAACCTAGACTACATAGTGAGTTTCAGGCCAGCTTGATCTATAATACCATGTTAGACGTCATTTAAAAAAAAAATAAGAGGATGGGGACTGGCTCAGTGGTATAGTGCACTTGCTTCTCTTCCAGAGGAGCTAAGTTTGGTTCCAACACCCATGAGAGGCAGCTCACAACCATCTGTAACTCCAGCTCTAGGAGAGCCAATGTCTCTGAGCTCCATGGGCATCTGTAGATGCAGACACACACACACCTACACCTAATTAAAAATAAATACTTTCTGAATGGTAGTAGAGGTTGAGGAGATAGCTCGTTTTGCAAAGTGTTATTGGAAGCATGGAGACCTGAGTTTGGCTCCTTAGTACCCATGTAAAAGGCTGGATGCAGTGGTGGGCACCTGGGATCCCAGCACTAGGGAAACAGAGATATACAAGGTCCCTGGGGTTTGCAGACCAGCCTATCTAAAAGAATGGGTAGGCTCCAGGTTCACTGAGAGACCCTGTTTCAAAAAATAAAGTGAGACCATGGGGTGGCTCAGCATGCAAAGGGTGCTTGCTGCCTGTGGTGGTTTGAATGACAGGACCCCCATAGGTCATATGTGAATGCTTGGCCATCAAGAGTGCACTACGTGAGAAGAAAGAGGTGTGGCCTTGTTGGAATAGGTGTGACCTGATGGAGGAAGTGTGTCACTGAGGGTGGGTGTTGAGGTCTCAGAAGCCCAAGCCAGGTGCAGTGTTGATCTGCTGCCTGTGCCTGTGGATCTGGATATAGAATTCTACTTCTCCAGCACCACGTCTGTCTGAGTGCCTCTATGCTCTCCACCATGCTGATAATAGACTAAACTTCTAAATCTGTAAGCTAACCCCCAATTTCTTTTATAAGAGTTGCCTTTAGGGGCAGGAGAGATGGCTCAGAGGTTAAGAGCACTGGCTGCTCTTCCAGAGGTCCTGAGTTTTCAGTTCCCAGCAACCACATGGTGGCTCACAACCATCTATAATGAGATCTGGTGCCCTCTTCTGGTATGTAGACATACATGCAGGCAGAACACTATATACATAATAAATAAATCTTAAAAAAAAGTTGCCTTTAGCCAGGCATTGGTGGATCTCTGTGAGTTCGAGGCCAGCCTGATCTACAGATGGAGTTCCATGACAGGCTCTAGAACTACAGAGAAATTCTGTCTCAAAAAAAAAGAAAGAAAGAAAGAAAGAAAAAGAAAAAATTTTTCTTTGTCATGGTGTCTCTTCACAGCAATGGAGCACTAAGCCACTGCCCAACAACACCAGCCTGACAGCCTGAATTCAACCCCCTGAGCCACATAAAAGTGGAATGAGAGCACTGACTGCACAAAGTTGTCCTCTGACCTCCACAAATGCGCCCCCTCCACATGTGCCCCTGCCATATGCACGTCATCCATACACATATAGTTAATAATAACAAATGAAACAAATTAAAAATTGTTAAAGATGAAAAAGCAATTGAGGAAAGTAACTCTGCCCCTCCTCTCTCTCTCTCTCTCTCTCTCTCTCTCTCTCACACACACACACACACACACACACACACAGATGGCATTAAGGACTAGAGAAATCCAGGTGGCTTCTGGAGGAGGTGGTACTAAAGCCAGCCTAGAGCCTGAATGGACTTGGGCAGGCTGGGGGGGGGGGGGAGTGGAGGAAAGCCTGGCAGGACAGGACAGGACAGGACAGGTGCAGTCCTGGCTATGGGATGGTGTCACCCTACGGGAAATCAGGAGACTGTCAAAGGGGGCCTTACGGATCGGGAAACAGTGTTGAAACACTGATGTTCGTCTGCACGTGGTGAACCTGCTCAACACGATGAAGCCTGGAAAGGAAGTCAGAGCAGGTGTGGAGAGACCCCCGGCAGCTCATCTCACTGCGTCCACGGGAATGTAACAGACCCTGCTACTGAAACCCTCTCTCTGCAGGACCACCTCAGGCTCAGATGTGGAAAGTAAAGCTGGAGAAGAGCCCCATCCAGCTGATCCTGCCACAGGCACACCATGGAGAGGCTTCACTCAGACATCAAGGACGACTTCCAAGGAGGCTGAACCCCAGAGTGCACAACAGGGAACTAAATCTTTTTACAGAGACTCCTGCGACTCACAGAGCTATGACTGGTTCCTGTGAGCCTCAGAGGTTCTGCCCCCACTAAGAGATATTTCCATGGGCATCCACCTCCCCTTCCAACGCGCCTGAGTCCCAACGGCGGCGGGGACCACATCTCCCTCATCTCTGGGCCCCTTCCTCAATACCCAGACCACAGCCCCACATGGAGACATCTATCCTAGGTCCTAAAAGGGCCCAAACTTGAGCCTGCATCAGGGTCTCCCAAAGGCCCCTTAATATCCAGGGTGCTGGGCCCAGGCAGGTGTGTAGTTTGTTTTTATCTTTGATTCTATATGTATGTTTTGCCAGCACGCATGTCTGTCCACTTGTACCTCTAGAGCCCTTAGAAGAGAGGACATTAGATCCCCTGGAACTGATGGTTGTGAGCAGCCATGTGGGTGCTGGGAATTGAACCCTGGTCCTCTGGAGGAGCAGTCAGTGCTCTTAACTGCTGAGCCATCGCTCCAGCGCCATACTCCAAGGTTTTTGTTTCAGTAGAGCAGAAGTTAACCCCAGGCACTTACCTGTCTAACAAAATCCCTAGAGATGTCAATTCTGCTGGACCAGAGAGATAGACCAATGGTACATTGCAGTAGGGATATGATAATGAGGCCCAGAGACTTGACAGTTGTCACCTCTGCACACATTTCATACATTTCTCTCTGTGTGCTGGAACTTGAGCCCAGGGCATTGTGCATGGGAGGAAAACTGCATCCCCACGTAGTGCGTTTTCTCTGTTAGTTTAGTTGGCTTATGTTGATGTCCTCTTTAATTTTTTTTAACCTCTAGTAAGCCGGCAGTGGAAATGGAACAGATTCATCAGGACACCCTGCCCCTTCACAGTGAGAGCCTTGAACGTAATAGACGTTCAGTGAGCATCTAGCAATGGGGGATGGAGGGATATTACAGGCAAGGGGACACTGAGCGGAAGTACTTGCCCGAATACATCTGCTCAAATGAATGCATGAAGCGGAATATTGTCACCCTCTCTCTGTCCCCAGCCTCTGGGGCCCTGCAGTGTGGCAGATTAAGGGAAGCTTTGAGATAAAGGGGGCGGGGCATTGATGAAGGGAGGGGCCAAGAAAAGAGTAATGACACCGGCAGAAGAGGAAACGGAGGGGACTATTCAGAGCCAGGCCCTAGTGCCAAACCCTGCACTTGGTGGAGTAAAAGCCTGTAAAGGATAGCAACGGGAAGCCCACTGACTGGCCCAGGAAGAGGACAAGCAGTGTTCCTGAGGGTGGGGAGAGGGTGGAACCCCTCTGGGGAAGCAATGTTTCACCAGCCCTGAATACCATCCTGCCGGATAGGTTGTGATAAACGGATTCTAGTCTGTGCCAGCTCCTGAGACGAGTGGACCTCCCACGTGGCCAGCTGCGGAGGGCCTGGGCCCAGCCCAAATTCTCAGATTTGGCTTTTGCTCAGGAATTGTTCTCACCTCACCTTATGCCAAGTAAATCAACACAAGGTGCACCTTCTGGGAAGTCTGAGCCCTCAGGTCCCTGGTGGCAAGCCTGGAGCCCTCCCCAATCCTCACGGAGGTTAGCACCTAAGCACCAGCCAGTCCCCAGCAGAGACCGACCTGAGAGTCGTACAGAGAGGCGACCCACGGAGCTGAGACGCCAGGAACACGTGTGCCCTTCCAGAAGGGGAAGAGTGACCGCGCGCACCGGGGAT